TTTAATTCATCACTTTTGGGCTTTCTACACTTAAATTATGAATGCTTATGGACATTTGAGTTTTTATTATTTACACATTTATATCCAGCACGTTTCACAATGATTATTGCCTAGTATGAGTAATTTTCTACCGACTTAAGAAACAAAAAAACATTAGCATTTTTTCCCTGGAGATTGGCTAGTCAAAAAATGTGATTCCTGAACGTTTCTGTGCAATTAATTGATAAGTCACCAATGAAATGCTTTTTTTGTCTTTTAATCTTGAAAAACATTTAGTATCAAAGTTAAATTTTTTTGTTCACAAAATTTTACTTCAGTCAAATGTCCTAAGCTCATGATATTTAATAAGAATGTATTAACATTTGACATATTTTTATGTTCATTTCAACTTGAAACTATTGTAGCTTAAAGACAATAAGAAACGAGGTGCTAGTGGTCGGCTCCATCGAACCGAGACTGGGGATTGGGTGTGGTCTTCTGGTGAAGAGAGTTACGATGAGGATTCTGCCAGTGTTGAGGTTTGTCTGAAGTTAGAAACCTTAAAATACAACTGATGATGACTTTATTTAGAAATTTTAAAGTTTACTAAGTAGATGATTTGTAAAAATGATACATTGCCAGGTTTAGTCCAGCAAAGATTCATGTTACAAATTCATATTGTCTCCAAGTTTAGTCCATTAATGATTCATGTTACAAATTCATATTGTCTCCAAGTTTAGTCCATCAATGATTCATGTTACAAATTCATATTGTCTCCAAGTTTAGTTCATCAATGATTCATGTTACAAATTCATATTGTCTCCAAGTTTAGTCCATCAATGATTCATGTTACAAATTCATATTGTCTCCAGGTTTAGTCATCAATGATTCATGTTACAAATTCATATTGTCTCCAAGTTTAGTCCATCAATGATTCATGTTACAAATTCATATTGTCTCCAGGTTTAGTCCATCAATGATTCGTGTTACAAATTCATATTGTCTCCAGGTTTAGTCCATCAGTGGTTTGTGTTACAAATTTGAATCATCTCCAAAGATTAGTGTTTCATTCTTGTCTTGTTACCAATTTTTTGTATTGCAGAAGCTCATGTTGTAGATTTGTATAAGTACTTTATTTATTAATATAATTTGCCAATATTAGAAATACCGTTATATTTATTTTTTACTTGCAGTCCGAAGAACAGGTCAATCAACAAGATATATTGGTTAACCAGTCTCAAGACATTCATCTTCCCAGTCCTCATGAACAAGCATCTGATTCCTCTCAAACACAAATCCAGCAGTCAGTTTTCCCTGCACAACAGCAGGTGAACATGCATCAATCTCAGAATGAAGCAGTTTCTTTAGAAAAGCCTCCTCAGTTAATGATGCCTTCAAAACCTGAAGCTACCCAAGCTTTCCCATCTTATAATCAAGGCCAACCAATGGCCCAACAAACAGCCAGGCTTCCATCACAGGAGCAGGAAATTCAACTAGCCCCTAACCAGACCTGTGTAGTCTCCCCGGTACAGAACCACTCCGAAGGATTGACCACACCGAGCTTAGCTCCCCAGGTGAGTGGCTTTTTAATAGAATGTGCAGTGTTACAGGTGTGGTTGCTTGGCATCACTGAAAAAGTGAGTAATGAATTTGTTTGTTTTAGCACAATGGCACATGATATATTACATGTGTTGTGTAATAACAGTACTGAACACCTGCCTAGGTAATAGTTTTGTGACTGCTGTAATAACAGTACTGAACACCTGTCTAGGTATAGTTTTGTGACTGCTGTAATAACAGTACTGAACACCTGTCTAGGTAATAGTTTTGTGGCTACTGTAATAACAGTACTGAACACCTGTCTAGGTGTAGTTTTGTGGCTACTGTAATAACAGTACTGAACACCTGTCTAGGTATAGTTTTGTGGCTACTGTAATAACAGTACTGAACATCTGTTCAGGTTTAGTTTTGTGACTGCTGTAATAACAGTACTGAACACCTGTTCAGATATAGTTTTGTGACTGCTGTAATAACAGTACTGAACACCTGTTCAGATATAGTTTTGTTGACTGCTGTAATAACAGTACTGAACACCTGTTCAGATATAGTTTTGTGACTGCTGTAATAACAGTACTTAACACCTTTCTAGGTATAGTTTTGTGTTTACTGTGTTGTGTAATAACAGTACTGAACATCTGTTCAGATATAGTTTTGTGACTGCTGTAATAACAGTACTTAACACCTTTCTAGGTATAGTTTTGTCTACTGTGTTGTGTAATAACAGTACTGAACATCTGTTCAGGCATAATTTTGTGGCTGCTGTAATAACAATACTTACACCAATTTTTGTTATGGCTATACAAAGGTTAGAGGTACTGAAGGTTTTAAAAATTTTTGGAAAACTTCACATGGCTTTAGAATCAAAACTGTGTTGATTGAAATTTTGTAGAAAATGTCCTAGAGTTGTATTATGTTTAGGATAAAGCAAAATATTTAACATTTTTAATCCTGGAGAAAAAGAATAAGCATGCATATTTTATGTATAATGAGCAAATTATGTAAACAGAAAAGACTACAGTAGTTTGTTATCTTTCCTTTTTATTGTGACTACATAGCTGGTGTTTTCTTTCTTAATTCTATGATTATTATAAAACACCTGGTGTTTTCTTTCTTTAATTCTATGATTATTATAAAACACCTGGTGTTTTCTTTCTTTAATTCTATGATTATTATAAAACACCTGGTGTTTTCTTTCATTAATTCTATGATTATTATAAAACACCTGGTGTTTTCTTTCTTTAATTCTATGACTATTATAAAACACCTGGTGTTTTCTTTCTTTAATTCTATGACTATTATAAAACACCTGGTGTTTTTGGTAAGTTATGTGTATTTAACGTTTATCTATGTTCATGAAATACAAGTTGTTTGAAGTGTGAATTTGTTTGGTCTTATCTTAATTTTGTAATTTCTGTACTTATAGCCAGCATCAGAAGAGGTTTCCACTATTAATCTTGTCCTCAGGATAAGGTAAGTCATTTCAAGGATACTTTTTGGTAAATGTTATCTCATGTGGCTTTCCCAAGTCATTAAACAAGTCATGATTTTAATTATTGTTGTCTGGGGAAATGAAACTGTAGAGATCAGAACATAAAAGAAAAAGGTGGTTAAATAGTCTGTTGTCAGAGCAGACAGTTATCTCGTAGAAATGAAGTTTGGGTGTTAGATGAAGACGGTAGACCAAAGCTTTCTAAAAAATCTGTTGTTTATCATTTCTGTTGAAGCTTACTTGAAAGAATGTGATTTTTTATTATGAAAAGTAAAATTCTAGCTCATTGGTTTAGGTTGTTTATAATAGGTATGGCTTATTTTGTTCCTACTGGATGTGGCATAAGGTTTTCATTCAGAGCATGGCATAGTTTGTTTATACCAGGTGTGGCTTAGTTTTTGTTCCTACTCCATGTGGCATAGGTTGTTCATTCTGGGCATGGCTTAATTTGTTTATACCTGGGTGTGGCTTAGTTTTTACTACTCCATGTAGCATAGGTTGTTCATTCTGGGCATGGCTTAATTTGTTATTGGGTGTGGCTTAGTTTTTGTTCCTACTCCATGTGGCATAGGTTGTTCATTCTGGGCATGCTTAATTTGTTATTGGGTGTGGCTTAGTTTTTCTACTCCATGTAGCATAGGTTGTTCATTCTGGGCATTGCTTAGTTTGTTATTGGGTGTGGCTTAGTTTTTACTACTCCATGTAGCATAGGTTGTTCATTCTGGGCATGGCTTAGTTTGTTATTGGGTGTGGCTTAGTTTTTCCTACTCCATGTGGCATAGGTTGTTCATTCTGGGCATGGCTTAATTTGTTATTGGGTGTGGCTTAGTTTGTGTGTACTACACATGTGTAAATGTTCTTTAATACTTGTTCCAATGTCTAGGAAAGATTCATGAATGCTTGGAGATAGAGCATGTGATATAAATTACATTATATAAGACTGACAGGTAAAGACTGTGGTATAAGAATTGTCTTGTTATTGTTTTAATCTAAAGCAGTTACACAGACAGACATATTGACAAACGTGACAGCTTTCAAGTTGAAGTTAACCCTTGTGTTTATGAGGGGGGATAAATAAAATCAATTCTTTAATTGGCTTTACAAGATAAAAGCATTAAGAGAAAGAGCTTTCTGTAATTCCTTACATAAACTTATATGTTACCCTATTTAGAAAAACTACAAAATTTATTGTGTTGTTCTAAGTATCTTAACTAGAATAAGGATTTTATGACGTTGAAGTTTTCTAAGCATGAAATTATATCTATTGTTGTTTTAATGGTATGTTTTGTTTTCACTAGGAATTACCGCGGAGAATTGAATGACATTAGATTTGATTTTACTCCTAATACAGGTAAGTGCTTAGAAGAACCACTCTATAAAACACTTTTATAAAAGGTAATTGTTGTTTAGTATATTATTGTGTTTTCACATGAACCTGTTATACTCCTACATTAACATAAGTAATATTCATGAGAATTAGGTCTGAAGGTATTTTATATAACAGGTACAGGTTATAAATGGCTATTTAGAATTAACACATCACTTCTGTAAGGGACACTCGACTCACAATCTTCACTAACCGTGCTCGATTTCTCAACCGTGGGAAAGTGAGACATTAGAGTTTGTTGAGTAGCTTCCTTCCCTCTAGTCTAGCACAGACACCCCTCGAGTAGACTCGTGTAAAAATTCAACAAACACCTTTGTATAACCCAGACAGTAGAACGGACTTAAGTGTTCAATGTTAATCTTGAAAAAAACAATACTCAACATCAAACACAGATAAAATGTATTTATTAGAACACGCATTACATTTCCTCTGTATCTTTGGCTTGTGATTCCTATGTGTAAACAATCTATAGATGTAGGTGATCTGAGATGATAAAACTGGTGTTGAGGACCTTTTCTTAGTTTCATGAGGCTGCATTTATTGACAAAAAAATCAAGATACATTGTGTGTGTGTGTCATCTGTAGTGTAATTTGATTAGATATTTAGATGTAATAATATTTTGTTTAAAAACAGTACGAGTAAAATGTTTCTTTTTTTTTACGAACCTTTAATTGTATTCTTACCGGTCCACTTGCTGATAATGGTTTATTTTATATTGAGTGAGGCTACCTCATAGTGCATAAATCAAAACCACTGTGTCGTTACTGTAATATGTTGTGGCAGGATTAGGAAGCAACGTCATTGTTACCCAGCAAAAGGAGATCTGTTAATATAATAATAATAAAATTGAATACAATGTATTTAACTATTAGTGAAAATGTTGTAGTTTATGTGTGTACTTTTGTTTCATTTACTGTTTACATCTTTATAGCAGTGAGCACAATTGATGTGAAGGTAGGCCTAAACTTAGAAGTTTCTACTGGCCTATATATTAATGTACATACTTGAAGATATAATGTTTTTTGAATTCTAGATACAGCTGATGGGATAGCTGAAGAACTTGTCGGTGCTGGTCTAGTAGATAGAAAGGATGTTGTGGTTGGTAAGTCTTTTTTTTATCTGATCATATTTATGTTCAGGATTTTCTAACGAAGGGCACACTGTACAGAAATAACTGAACTTATTTAAATATGTTCATCATTGTGATACCTCTTAAAGCATGACATTGTACTTATAGTAAGAAATTTTTATCGGGTGTTGCTAAGATTATAAAAAAAAAACGAGGCTTGATGTTGTTGCAACAAGTAAATCATGAATTTTTGGTGTTAAAACATTGAATATGACTTAGATATTTGATTGTAATTGTTCCTGTCATTATTTGTGAACATAATTTTAATATTTTTGAATATAAATTATCTAGAAGAAAAGAAAGCTAGTAATATTGTCAGCAAAAGTTGTAATCTCGTGGATTTTTTGTAAGAATCAATATTTATCACTTTTGTAAATTAATTAATATTATGAAACAATGTAACCATACAAGATATAAACAATGTAACCATGCAAGATATAAACTTCATTGCTTCTGAGTAATTCTTAACTCGTGCGTTTAAAGTATGAGATTCTTCGAAAATATAAACCTCTTTTTCATCGGGGACAAACTGAGAATGTTACAAGGTTTCATTTTTTTTTGTCTTTAGTTTCTTTAATCTACATGATTTCTTAACTTGTGTGTTTAAAGTATGAGATTCTTCGAAAATATAAACCTCTTTTTCATCAGGGACAAACTGAGAATGTTACAAGGTTTCATTTTTTTTGTCTTTAGTTTCTTTAATCTACATGATTTCTTAACTCGTGTGTTTAAAGTATGAGATTCTTCACAAATATAAAACTTTTTTCATCAGGGACAAACTGAGAATGTTACAGGGTTTCTTTTTTTTTGTCTTAGGTTTCTTTAATCTACATGTTTTTTTAATGCCTTGTGAGTGTTCTCATTTAATTTTTCATAGTTGCAGCCAACATACAAAAACTTATCGATCAGCCAGGATTGAGATTAGCAACCTTTGCATTAGTAAGTAAATTAATTTTTTGACTAATTATATAAGTTTTTTATAAACACTTGATGTCTTTTTTTTCCATGGAAGGTATGTTTATACTCTGTATAATTGGAGTTACAAAAAAGTGATATCTTATACCTGCTACTAGCACTGTGCAAAAAACACACATCATAAGCTTTTTAATTTGTCTGGGTTTCTCGCTTTATCATACACTTTGCCAACACCTAATAGTTAGTCTCTGGAATGTTAATGTCGAACAAGGCTTCCTCTTGTTTCCTGATTAAATGATAGTCTTGGTGTTTTATTTTAATATAATATTTATATATGATTAGCCACTTTAATTGTTTTTTGGTCACTTTACAAAATACTTTGTTTATCCAGAACTGACATGCAGGTTTTCTTAACTTGGAGACTGATATGATCATGACTTTCACTGCAAGTATGATAAGCAAATGGTATAATTTATTCAGCTTATTTATTAACGTGTAAATAAGGCTAATTCTGTAAGTTTAGGGATGTTGAAAGTTGGGCTAGAAACAATTTTTTAATGTTACTGTAGACATGACAAAATATATTTCTATAGTGGAAGGATAACCCATGTGATTAAGGTCACTGTGTGATTAATTATAACTAAACAGTGATTGTTTTTACCAATTACTTAATCATGTAGAACAATGATGGTGTTTTAATTCTATTTTGTTTAATTAGTTATTAGAAGTTTTATTAAACACTTGTCAGTTTGACATGGACAGTATCTGTTTAGTAGGGAAGTAACTGTTCAACATTGTACTTTTGTTTTAAAGGTTATATGGGTAATTATGGTTTAAATGCCATTTTGTGCAAGTAATTTCTCATAACTCTTCTGTTTAGTATGTATATACTAGCTTAGAATTAAAATCATTACACAAAATACAGTAAGACCTCACTTAGTGCCATCCCACTTTAAGATGAATCGTTTTAGAGCTCTTGTCTCCTTGAGAGATCTTTTTTTCACGAGAGAGAAAAAAGTATGAAAATCCATAACTGTCTGAACAGTACTTTTTCATACTAATGAAAGTAGTACACTAAATAATTTTTATTTAATAAAATAATGCAACAAAAAACATAGAATAATAACATGCAAAAAGCAGACAATGTCCCGTAACTATCACAATTTTTCTGGCGTTTCTAATGACCGTTAAAA